GTCACCTGAACAAGGAGGATGTCTTGATGCAGTTCACCTTCTGGAATCAGTGACTGCACTGGTGCAGATCTTCCCCACATCAGCCAATCAACCTCACAACTCTACAGCTTGCTTCAATACTCTTGCTGTCACCTGAACACAGAGCTTGCCTTGATGAAGTTCACCTTCCGGAAGTAGTAACTGCACTGATGCTGATCATCCTCACATCAGCTAACCAGCATCACCACTCTGCAGCCCGCTTCAACTTACACGCCTTCACCTGAACAGAGCGGGTTGTCTTGATGAAGTTCACCCTCTGGCAGCAGTGACTGCATTGATACAGATCTTCCCCTTGTCAGCCAATCAACATCATCACACAGCTGTCTTGGTCAAGGCACTTGCCTTCACCTGAACATAACGGGTACCTTGATGAAATTCACCTTCTGGAAGCAGTGATGGCACGGATGCAGATCTGCCCAACGTCAGGCAATCAGCATCACCAATCTGCTAACCTTTTCAAGGTACTTACCATCACTTGAACACGGAGCTTGTCTTGATGAAGTTCTACCACTGTAAGCACTAACTGCACTGATGCAGATGCTCCCCACATCAGCCCATCAGCATCACCACTTTGCAGCCCTCATCAAGGTACTCACCTTCGCGTGAAGATGGACAGTGTCTTGATGAAGTTCAACCACTGGAAGCAGTAAATAAACTGATGCAGATCTTTACAACTCAGCCAATCAGGATCATCACTGTGCTGCCCTTTTCACAGTACTCACCTTCACCTTCACCTTCACGAAGCAGTGACCACACTGAGGCAGACCTTCCCCACATGGGCCCATCAGCTCCACCACTGGGCAGCCCTCTTCGAGGGACTAGACACCCCTTGAACACAGGAGGTGTTTTGATGAAGTTCACCTTCTGGAAGCAGTGACTGCACTGATTCAAATCTTCCCCGAGTCAGCCAATCAATGTCAACACTCTGCTGCCCTTGTGCAGGAACTCACCTGTACCTGCACACAGAGGGCATCGTGTTGAACATCACCTTTTGGAAGCAGTGACTGAACTGACGCAGATTCTCCCCCATCAGCATCACCACTCTATGGCCCATTTCAAAGAGCTTGCCTTCACTTGAACGTGGAGGGTGTCTTGTTGAAGTTCATGCGCTCAAAGCAGTGATTGCTCTGGTACAGATCTGCCCAACATCAGCCAATCAGTCTCACGACTCTGCTGCCCTTTTGAAGGTTCTCGCCTTCACCTGAACACAGAGGGTATCTTGATGAAGTTCACATGCTCGAAGCAGTGACCGCACGGATGCAGTTGTTCCCCATATTCAGCCACTCAATGTCACCACTCAAGGTACTCGCCTTCACCTGAACACAGCAGGTGTCTTGATGAAGTTCACCATTTGGAACCAGTAATGGCACTGACGCACATCTTCCCCACATCAGCCAATCAGCATCATCACTCTGACGCCCTCTTCAAGGTACTCGCCATCACTTGAACATGGAGCGTGTCTTGATGAAGTTCACCTTCTGGAGAAAGTGACTTCACTGATGCTGATCTTCCCTATGTCAGCGTCACCAATGTGCTGCAATCTTCAAGGTACTCACCTTCACCTGAAGACATAGGGTGTCTAGATCAAGTTCACCTCGTGAAACAATGACTGCACTGATGCAGATATTCCCCACGTAAGCCACTCATTGTCACCACTCTGCTACCCTCTTCAAGGTACTCGTCTTCACTTGAACACAGAGGACGTCTTGACAAAACTCATCTTCTGGGGGCAGGGTCTGCACGGATGCAGACCTATGCCGCGTAATCACTCTGCAGTCCTCTTCAAGGTACTCACCCTCACTTGACCACAGAGTGTGTCTTGATGAAGTTCACGGTCTGGAAGCAGTGACCGCACTGATGCAGATGATGTTTCCTATACTCAGCCACTCGCTGTCACTACTCAAGGTACTCACCATCACCTGAACACAGAGCGTGTCTTGATGAAGTTCACCTTCTGGAGAAAGTGACTTCACTGACTTTGCTGCCCTTTTCAAAGTACTCACCTTCACCTGAACACGGAGGGTGTCTTGATGAAGTTCACCTTCTGGAAACAGTGACTGCACTGATGCAGATGTACCCCCCTGTCAGCCACTCAGTGTCACCACGCTGCTGCCTTCTTCAACGTTGTCACCTTCACCTGAATATGAAGGGGATATTGGTGAAATTCGCCCTCTGGAGGCAATGATTGCACAGATGATACTCGCCTTCACCTGAACACGGAGGGTGTCCTGATGAAGTTCACATGCATGAAGCAGTGACCGCACGGATGCAGATGTTCCCCATACTCAGCCATTCACCGTCACCTGAACACGGAGCATTTCTTGATGATGTTCACCTTCTGGAGAAAGTGACTTCACTGATGCTGATCTCCCCCACGTCAGCGTCACCATTGCACTGCACTGTTCGAGGTACTCACCTTCACCTGAAGACATTGGGTGTCTTGATGAAGTTCAGCGACTGTAAGCAGTAACAGCGCTGACACAGAACTTCCCAAGCCAGCCCAACAGTATCCACACGTTGTGGCCCTTTACAAAGTCCTCACCTTCACTTGAACACGGAGTGTGTCTTGATGAAGGTCATGTTCTGGAAGCAGTGATTGCACTGATACAGATTTTGCCCATGGTACTCATTCTGAACATGGAGGGTGTCGTGATGAAGATCACGTTCAGGAAGCAGAGACTGCACTGGTGCAAATCTTTCCCCCACATCAGCCAATCAGCGTCACCACTCTGTTGCCCTTTCAAGATACTCGCCTTCACCTGAACACAGCGGGTATCTTGATGAAGTTCACCTTTTGGAAGCAGTAACAGCACTGATGCAGATCTTCCCCACATCAGCCAATCAGAGTCACAACTTTGCTATTTTCTTCAAGGTACTCACCTTCACCTGAAGACATAGGTTACTTGATGAAGTTCACGCAATGGGAAGCAGTGACAGCACTGATGCAGATGTAGCAGCCAATCAGTATCAACACTCAGCTACCCTCCTCAAGGTACTTGTTCTGAACACGGAGGGTGTTTTGGTGAAGTTCACGTTCTGGAAGCAGAGACTGCACTGATGCAAGTCTTTCCCCACATCAGCCAACCAGCTTCAACACTCTGCTTCCCTCCTCAAGGTACTCCCCTTCACTAGAACACGGAGGGTGTTTTGATGAAGTTCACTCTCTGGAGGCAGTGACTGCACTGATGCAGACCCTCCCCAGGTCAGCCAATCAGCGTCACCACTCTGCTGCCCTCTTCAAGGCACTCGCCTTGATTTGAAGACGGGCGGTTTCTTGGTGAAGTTCAACCACTAGAAACAGTGACTGCACTGATGCAGATCTACCCCTGTCAGCTAATCAGCAACACCACTCTTGCCATCTTCACGGAACTCACCCTTAGCAGAACACGGAGCGGGACTTAACGAAGGTCACTCTCTCAAAGCAGCGACAGCACTGACTTAGATCTTCCCCACATCAGCCAACCAGCATCACCACTCTCCTACCCTTTTCAACATGCGCGCCTTCACCTGAACACAGAGGGTGCCTTGATGAAGTTCACCTTCTGGAAGCAGCGACTGCACTGATGCAGATTGGCCCAACATCAAGCAATCAGCATCATCACTCTATTGCCCACTTCATGGTACTCGACCTTAGCAGAACACAGAGTGTATTTTGATGAAGTTCACCCTCTCGAACCAGTGACTGCACTGATGCAGATACTTCCCATGTCAGCCAATCAACGTCACCACTCTGCAATCCTTTTCAAGGTACTCGCCATCACTTGAACACAGAGCTTGTCTTGATGAAGATCTACCACTGTAAGCAGTAACTGCGCTGATGCAAGTCTCGCCAACAGCAGCCAATCAGCATCACCACTTTGCTGCCCTCTTTAAAAAACTCACCATCACCTGAGGACGGACGGCGTCGTGATGAATTTCAACCACTGGACGCAGTAACTAAACTGAT